AAGGGAGGGGGTGGGTCATGTGTTTTTTATCAACCACATTTCCAAATGCTCCGGCCCCCCCTATATACTTTTTGACCAGTCCCTAAGTAATTTTTCTTGTCGTTTGTTGTATTGCATTGCACGAGAATTCCTTCAAGCTTTTCCTTTAATAAATTGTAGGTTTACAATTTGGATGCTGTAAAACAAGCTAACAAACTCAACCTTATGTATGATTTTGATATATTCATAACTTTATCATTAAACTGAACTTTTGTAATGTATACTAATCTTTTAATCGAGGAAAAAAATACCACCCATGTGTTGTTGCTTGATCTGAACGCTGCTTTTTACCGTCATTTCGAGGTTTGCAACGATAGAAATAACCCCTATTAAATTAGGCATTCGGATCGAGACAATTTGTGTAATAGTTACAATTGCAACTTCGCCCTTTTCCCTGTTTTCAAGTTAACCCAGGATGAAGACTAACCAGTGTTTGGGCCGCGGGAACTGGGCCAAGATTGTTCTACATGTCTGTTACATGTACAGTATGCATTTAACTAAAAGTAATTTACACTCAAGGAATAATCTATTTCAAGTTATAGCTTATAATTATGTTAATCAAATCTATCTAACTTCCATTTTTCTTAAGAAACATTATTTTGCAGAAAGAAAGCTGCCAGACGCGAAGCTGAATCACAGTGGATTACTACAAAGTTGTGGAACAATGGCGTGGCAACCATGCGCTTGATCAGATCAAATGAAACTCAGAAAAAGGCTCGCAATCTCACAAATTGTAAGTACTTTGATGCACTCTCCTTCATAAATTACGATCACTTTTCAACTCCTAATTCTAAAAAAAAAAAATCTCTCCTAGCATTTTTAGTCTTGGAAAACATGCATCAATCAATCATTTTGTGACGGACGAAACTGATTTGAAAGTGACTGGTCAATCTTTGTTTTGTTTGTTTGTTGCTTAATTATGAAGTTATTTTCGTTCAAAGTTTAAAATAAGATACTTCCGAAAGTTGATATATAACAGTGGAAACATTTCTGAGATAACGATGCTTATACGAAAATAGGCGCATTAGGTAAACCGGTCTGTGATTCTCGCAATTTGTTTCTTGACTTTTCTTGATAAAATTAACTTTTGCAAGTCACGGAGTTGTTGTAAGAATAAAAGGAAGTTAGTAGACCGCTCTGTTTGTGAAGTAATTTTTTAAACCTGTTGTTCATTTGTACTGTGTCTGTGTTTTATTGGTTGCTCATGTTTATTAAAAATTTCTTACTATCGCTCAATCTCTATCTAGTCTATTTGACATTAATTTCAACCACAATGTTAAACTGGACCTGCCAGGACACGTTTGATCATGTGATGACCACTATCTTGGTGACTGATTATTGCTGCACGGCTTTGTACCAGGGGCACCCAACGTCAGTCTTCGGAGAAAATATCTGTTCTGAGGACGACTGGATCTAGAACTTTCGGAACATTTGCTGTAAAATTTCTTGCTTGCCTGATTCTCCTAGGATTTTCGAACATCTAAAAAATGGTATAATTGCCCATTTTTAACGGATTTCTACCCTAAAAAGGTCACCTAGAATTTTCGGGAGCCTTTTTTCTGGCTGAAATTTTCGAAAAGGTCAGTTTTGATCCCTATAATTTTCCGATCACTAGTTTTTCAGCTAGGAAATCCGAACAGATGAAAAATTTTTAGGGGATAAAAATATGCCTATATCTACCGTTCAAATACTAAATTACGTTTAACAATGCTATGTTTAAGTGGTTTTGAACTATTTTCTCATTGGGTGCACCTGTTTTTACCTCGCCATTCCTCAGGCTCACGCTATAAATATCATCACCTGGTTAATTCGAATGTTAATTCGAAAATGACGGTAAGAGAACACATGATGAGTTTTTAATGTTTGCCGCAAAGTTGCAAATTTCTACGTTCCCTTAAAGTAAAGGTCGCACTACACTATCGGTCAAATACCTGGAGACTTTATAAAGCTAAAGGATACCAGCCATGGTTGTTTGAGAGTTTTGTATATGAATTTGTTTGTAAATGTGAAGCTTTTGTTCTAAAATGGCAATGAAAAAATCAGTACCAAATAGCAAATAAGGTAGTTTTCGTACATAAGTCCATGTAGACTGTAAGATATAAGGCTAGGTTCTTGTGCAAGAAGAGGATGTTAGGACAGTGAGTGAAGACCGCCGTTGTTTCCGGCGGCGGTTAAAGCACGACACTCATGTGGCCACTGGTCTGTCAGTTGGGTTTTCTAAACATTTATGCCTACACTCTCTTTATCCAGTTGCATATGTGATATGCAATCTCCAAACTAAAAACTAAACAAGGGGTTGAATACAATCAACAATATCCACACTTCATGACACACACCACAACTGAAACTACTAACTAACAAAATCTTCCGCGACATCAAGAAACACCCATTCAATTCCAGCCCTGATCGACACTCCTTTGAATTGGCTACCATACTAAGAGAGTAGAAAGGGATTGTATTCTCTCTTGCTAGACCAAAAAGTTATACTCTCATGAAAGTAGTTTGTTTTTATATTTTACAGTATCGTGAACATCAGCGCCAGTTAGAGGAAGAGCTCCTTGAACGATTACGTCAAGAAGAACAGTTTGCTCGCGAAAGAGCAGCTCAACCGAAACCATGGCGACCGAAACAACCTAGAAAGAGGAAGGCTAATTTCTGAGGCAGATTACAAAAATGGTAGCAATCACAATGCTATTGGGGAAATTTAACGTTTTGCAAAAAGGGCATTTCTATGTTAAGTGACATTTGTGAGACATTCAGAATTGTAAATATATACTTGTAAATAAAGAAAAATGCTTGTTTTTATATCTTTGGACTTGTGGTTACTTTAGTTATACTGTTGGCATCAAAGAGAGAGAACAGAAGTCAATATACAATTACTATATTTACTCTTCACGTTTCTTTAGAAAGTAAATATTGACTCAGTTATTGCTGTTGGCGGAGTTTCTGTTTGCTGGGATACCAAATAATGACACTTCGATACCGTAAACAATCTTATTCTTCGGCCATTTCAACTTCAGTGAAAAACAGAATACAAAACTGCGGTAACAAACACGATGAAACAACGTATGTTGCAAAAAACTAAGATTTTCAAGACTTGACGTTTCGTATGTAACAACATACATCTTCATAAGCGACGGTTAAAAAGATTACAGTCAAATTTAAACATCTAGAAAGAGACTGGAACCTAATAAACAGGGCAAAGAAAAATTAGTTCCAGTTATCCGGGAGGTTCCAGTTCCAAAGTCCACAGTCCACATATACCTGTAATAACGAGGTGACCGTATTACTGAGGTGGTCGTAGAGCTGGGTTCCACTGTATACCCAAGCCATACCTAGATTTATATCGAAGGAGCCCAATTGTAATTTACTGAAGAGAGTTCTCATCACATTCGTAGGAGAGTCGTGCCCCGAGCAGTGTGGACCCATTGTTCATTAACGAGAATATTTTAAAGAACCAATTAAAGTTTGATATGTGTACCGAAAAATGTGCCCATAAAACCTCTAAATGAGATCCCATAGATTTAATTCCTGTTATTGCCTAGCAAATATTAAAAATGGTTTTTAAAAATAAACACGTTTAATGAAAGCTCTCTATCACATTTCCGCACATTTGTCCTCTTATCACTTGTACATAATTTTACTACCGTAAAGCCCCCTATCTAAAATACCCCTCCCCTATTCAAGGGGAGAAAGTTAATGATCCCCCTCTCTTTTAAGCCTCCCTCGCCTCCCCTTTTTATTCTTAACTAACCTAATTAATCAGTCACGACTTAAACCTTTATTTGAACTGATCCTGAATGATTTATTTACATGTTGGAACTTCCGATTTGTTTTTGATCCTCGACTTTATGAATACCAATTTCTTGTGTTTGAGCTTATCCGCTTTGCATTCTAGGTTTTTATAGAAAACTGACACCACCATCTTCGCTAAGCCAAATAAGCCCTACCCCGCTAAGTAAACCCTCCGTCTCTATTAAGCTCCCCCTCAAACGTGTTTGAAATTAATAATCACCCTGGGGTCCGTACAAAATGAACAACTACCTCATTGATTTTAGAGAGCACGGCATGTTTCGATCGATCTCGATCACTGATTAGTTCAGATACAAGTGAAACACTTATGATTTGAAGTTAGAATGCAAGATACGATTGGTCCTGATGGATGTTACAACTAATGATTACAACAGACCTTTTTAGCTTGTATGTTTTGCTTTCCCATTTCAGACCACGTGATGGTAAATTTCGTCCTATGCGCGAGCATCCACGTGTATCAGGTGTATATGTATGCAGGTTTAATCTTACAGTGTATATCCTTAACATTTCATGAGCCGCATTTACACTTGTGTCTTCACTCAATATTGTCAATTTAATATTGTCTATTTCATTTCCATGACCTACTTCATAAGTAAGTAACTTATCAATTATGGTATATTCCTTTCTACGAGTAAGTTACCTTTCGGGATAGGAGACTCTAATTATAATCGCTTAATGTGCTAGCTACTTTGCCGATTTAATCGTATATCGTAAAAGGTTTCATAAGCCATATACTGATATAATAATTGTTGCTTTACTCGATATTGTCTATTTCAACATTGTCTACTTCATAAGCAGATAACTACAACTGTACAAATTCAATTAAAATATATTTTACAGGTAAAAGTTACCTTTTGGGTAGGAAACTTTTATTACAAATACCTAGAGGGCTTTACTACGCGACGGATTCAACGGTATATCCTAAACTCAATTTTATATAGGCGACACATCTGCCGGTATCTTCCGTCAATTTTACGTCTACAATCTACGTCATATAAGAACGTACATAGAAATTGAAGTAAACCCTGCTTTATGAATAAGTTACCTATTACCGGCATAGGGAACTCATGTCTACTCCAGTCTAATATAACTGCTATTTAGTAACTACTACGCGTATTTAATTGTGTATTTCACTACTTGTAATAAGCGCCATATCTACTCGTATCTTCAATTCTAATTATAAAAAAAGTCATAAAAGTATTAAAAATATATTGTCTACCTCATGTCTATGAACTTCTTCAGAAGGAAGTAATATCTAAATAAACGTCAAAATATTTCTTACAAGTAACGTACTCTATTGCGTATGGAAAACAAAGCTATCTATTTTTTAATGTTCCAATTTAACCGTCAAATAGAAAGCAAGCTTAGGACATAGACTAGCGTCTCTGCGATTTTCTGCCAGACCTAATTAACTTGTTTTCAACAACGCTACTCGAAAAAGATCATTTGCTACTAACTACGATGGTGAATACGAAAAATATATACTGCACGTTCGTATTTTGAACGAGCACTTGTTGCTCTTACACGATAACGTGGTTAAATAAATTATTGTACTGTATTGTATTGTATACATGTATACAGCCGTAAGGCTTTTGGGTATCATTACTAAAACGTTACAGAGAAAACCTTGCTATGTCCAATAAGTTGTTTGTTTTTAACCCGAGGAATTGTTTTTCTAGTAACACTTTTGTAAGCTACTTGTCACGAGAAACGATTAGACACAACTTCCCGCAATAAACATTTTTAACAATTCACTGAATCTATTAACAACAAACATTTTCACAAAATATTTGATGGACGTTACACAGCTCCGGATAATTCATCGATTATCTCCTGCATGGTTGGTCTCGCTTCAGGATCTGTCTGCAGGAATCGCCGTACCAGGCCTCTTAACACGCGGTTCGTCATCAACAAAACTTGCTCGTCACGCTTTTCAGGATTTGGGAGTTCCCGAATGCACATTTCGCACAATAAAACACCAAAGCTATAAACATCGACCTAAAAAAATAGGAAAAAAAATCGAGTTTACGTTTGAGAAATCTACATTTTGATGCACCTTTCTTGCTCTGATAATAAGAGACGATTTCAACTGAAGAACCTTCTAAACATAAAGTACTTTCTGAATGACTCAGTGACATCCCACCTCAAAAACGTTCACTCAAACTCCGCAGGTCACGCTCGCACACACTGTTATATGCTTATAAAAAAGCTGGGCCCTAAAATCAGTAATAACCAACCTTCACTGTCTGGTTTGGAGTTAATGCTTCAGGTGAGCTATAAATCATAGCTCCAGGAGCCACTGTCATGGTCTGCTGCATGAAATTAGCAGTGCCGTAATCTGACACTTTACCTCTCCATTGATCACCTTGTCGCCATAGCAACACATTGGCACTGCTGACGTCCCGGTGAATGATGGGATGTGGTTTCTTCTGATGAAGGTAGTTCAGCGCACGAGCTACATCCAAAGAAATTACAGTTATTTCTGTTTCGGAAAGTTGCCGCTGTGCTAACAGAGCTCGCAGACTCATCTCCATGAGCTCGGTCACAAACAGAGGAGTTCCCTCGTCATTTGTGGCGCCGATAAACTGCAGCAAACAGGGATGGCGGCAAGCTGATGCAATATTCATTTCTCTTTCAAATAGAAGCCTGTTGTGAGGAGACAGAATCAGGTCATGGATTTGCTTCACTGCTACAGTACAGCCACAGTAGGTACCTTCATTGACCCTTCCCCAACCTCCCCTCCCTAGGCAATTCTCTGTCATATGAATTTCATTGCGGGAAACGACCCAGTCGCATGTTTCCTGTCGTCGTTGTTCACTTATCGTTTGCTGGGCTAATGAAAGACTTAACTCTAGTTCATTTACTTCCTGATCTTTGCCTCTCAGTTGTCTCTCTAAGGTGGACACCTGTTGTTGGGAGTTCTCTAATCGTTGATGCATTTCTCTCAACAGCCTTTGCAAGTTTTCCTGCTGTGGCTGCATCTCAGTCAACCGCCTTTGTGAATTTTCTTCGCGTTGCTGCATTTCCTCTAAGTGCCTTTGCAAGTTTTCCTGCTGTCGTTGCGTCTCTGTTAACTGCCTTTGCGAGTTTTCTTCGCGATGCTGTATTTCCTGTAACTGCCTTTGTGAATTTTCTTCGCGTTGCTGCATTTCCTGTAACTGCCTTTGTGAATTTTCTTCGCGTAGCTGCATTTCCTGTGACTGCCTTTGTGAATTTTCTTCGCGTTGCTGCATTTCCTGTAACTGCCTTTGTGAATTTTCTTCGCGTTGCTGCATTTCCTGTAACTGCCTTTGTGAATTTTCTTCGCGTTGCTGCATTTCCTGTAACTGCCTTTGCAAGTTTTCCTGCTGTCGTTGCGTCTCTGTTAACTGCCTTTGCGAGTTTTCTTCGCGATGCTGTATTTCCCGTAACTGCCTTTGTGAATTTTCTTCGCGTTGCTGCATTTCCTGTAACTGCCTTTGTGAATTTTCTTCGCGTAGCTGCATTTCCTGTGACTGCCTTTGTGAATTTTCTTCGCGTTGCTGCATTTCCTGTAACTGCCTTTGTGAATTTTCTTCGCGTTGCTGCATTTCCTGTAACTGCCTTTGTGAATTTTCTTCGCGTTGCTGCATTTCCTGTAACTGCCTTTGCAAGTTTTCCTGCTGTCGTTGCATCTCTGTTAACTGCCTTTGTGAGTTTTCTTCGCGTTGTTGCATCTCTCTCAACTGCCTTTGCGAATTTTCTTCGCGTTGCTGCATTTCCTGTAACTGCCTTTGCAAGTTTTCCTGCTGTCGTTGCATCTCTGTTAACTGCCTTTGTGAGTTTTCGTCGCGTTGTTGCATCTCTCTCAACTGCCTTTGCGAATTTTCTTCGCGTTGCTGCATTTCCTGTAACTGCCTTTGCAAGTTTTCCTGCTGTCGTTGCGTCCCTGTTAACTGCCTTTGTAAGTTTTCTTCGCGTTGTTGCATCTCTCTCAACTGCCTTTGCGAATTTTCTTCGCGTTGCTGCATCTCTCTCAACTGCCTTTGCGAATTTTCTTCGCGTTGCTGCATCTCTCTCAACCGCCTTTGCGAATTTCCTTCGCGTTGTGGCATCTCTCTCAACTGCCTTTGCGAATTTTCTTCGCGTTGCTGCATTTCCTGCAACTGCCTTTGCAAGTTTTTCTGCTGTCGTGGCATCTCTGTCAACTTCCTTTGTGATGTTTCTTTATGTTGCTGTATTTTCCTCAGTCGCCTTTGTAAGTTTTGGCCCTGTAGTTCACCAGCTGGTGACGGCGATTGCATGTTCGTTCCTCGTAAATCTTGCAATTTTGCTGTAAAGGTTTCCATAAGAAGAGGAAATAACAACAAAATTAAAATCATCAGGATAACAAGAATTTAACATTAAAATAACAACAACGATTCATCTCATTTCTTTTCAACTAAGGCGATAGAAGTAGGAAACCGCAAATAGCTTTAAGGCTGATCAAGTTAAGCAAGCTGCTTAATAGATTGCGTTCAAAACAACAAATTTCAAACCTTAATACAAAGGACAAAACAATATCCAAAAACAAAAATTCAATTCATAAATATGACTAAATTACACAATACGTAAATAGGAGTACATTACACTATGAACTATGGACAGAATTAATAATTAATATCAACGTCCTCTTTCTTTCCCAGCAAGCAGAGGTCTCTCACGGCGAGAGAAAACTGACAGGAAAGAGAGAGAGAGAACTCTGCCGGCCTCCACCCGTTCTTTTACTAAGCCGCCGAAGAGATTTCACTAGTTTTTAAACCCGGTCTAGTTTGCCGCGGAATGCGCATACCCTGTTGAGACGCTGAAAATTTGCGAATCCACATTGTAAGCTGTGTCTCACGTGACTAAAACTTTACTGTTTTCTTAGGAAACGCTACAGCATGCGCGATAGGAAAACCGTCGGGGGCCGGCAGAGGTCTCTCCTCTTCCTCTCATGCAATAATTGACCGTCAAAAGCATTCTGACAGACGATCAAAACTGTTCTACAAAAGTTTTTCAGATTATTGGCTAATTAACAACTGAAGTCCGCAATAGGACAATTGCACGATGACGTCATTTTACTACAACTACCAGAATCCTCGAGTTTGTTGTTTTCTTGTGCAAATTAAGGCTATTGTTCTTTAATCCTCAGCGGGATTGACAAATTTAAATAACAAAGCAAAACCGAATTGAATTCTGGTAGTTGTAGTCAAATATCGTCATCGTGCAATTGTCCTATTACATTCACATCAGCAAAGTGTATTGGGTGTCCATCGTCTCTGATGATTATTTTACTGTATAGGGACGTTGGCTGTGACAAACAATGGCAATGTGCACATATGTCGTTTATGTAGACTGTTGAGCAAGGATGGCGCAGTGGTGAGTCGCCTCCCACCAATGTGGCCCGGGTTCTTATCCCGGCGTCGACGCCATATGTGGGTGTTGACGAGAGGTTTTTCTCCGGGTACTCCGGTTTTCCGCTCTCCTCAAAAACCAACATTTCTAAATTCCAATTGGAACAGGATTCAGGTAAACGAAGAAGCACTTTGTGGATGTGCTAACTCTTAATCGTTATTTATTTTTATTTAGTATACACTAAAACAGTGGATAGTGTTTTTCGCGCGCTCTGATTGGCTACTCAATCAGTGAATATCCTGCACTATTCACTGATTCATCTCCAGTTCCTCCGAGCGAGCAACGCCAAACACGCGTAAGTTTCGAGCAAAATGCCTTCCCGGTTGCTGCCGTAACAAAACTAAGAAATTTCACAACTAATCAATCAAGCTATTCCTAAAATACATGAAGAAGGTGACGAAGTTCGGTTTGGAAGTTTTAACAGTAAAGCTTTGTCTTTTTTACTTGAATTTATCAATCAAACCGGTGAAAAAGTTTTTTGTTTACAAATGCAAATTAAGCTTAAGTCTTGCGTTACTTTACTTACTTGACTTGTTCATAAATAAACTTAAAACTAAATTTAATAATCTTTTTTAAAGAATGATTTTAAATACAAAAAGAATTCACAACTCCTTTTGAAGAAACTTCCCCGCAAAAGCTAAACAAACGCTTTCAAAAGTTTTATTTGTCGCCAAGAAAAAGTGACGACCGCGGCCGTTCGGTCATCGCGCGCCAAAATTGTAATCGTTGGCAACAGTAAATGAGTTAAAAATCATCATTTTTGTGCTCAATTATCTCACCGTTTTAGTACAGTCGACTCTCGATAACTCGAACCCTCGCTAACTCGAACCTCGCGCCAACTCGAACCAAAATCGATTTCCCCTGGATTTCCGTCACAAATTCACTGCAATTTTACCCTCGGTAACTTGAACCCTCGATAACTCGAACCAATTTTCGTTTCCTCTCAGGTCATTTTCTATGTAATTTTACCCTCGATAACTCGAACCATGTTTTGAGCCCTTAAAAAGTCGGGAAAAAAGCCGTCTACGGGCATCCGAAACATTGAATTTTGGATTTCCTATTGACGTGTTGTAGGAGTATAGTTTACTAATGGAGGCTGATGTTGATTGTCACAGGCTAACTTGAAGCAGCTTTTCTTCTTAAAACAGTAAAACGCATGCTCTAATTAGGCTATGTTTTGTTATGTTGCGTTCTGATTTATAATCTAGAAGTATCTTTTAATTTCTACAATTAAATGTGGTTAAAATGTTCACTGTGCAGTAAAAACTGTTTTTTACGTTACATTCGGCTATTTTCTTCGGGATCCCGGTTCGCGGCCTGGTGAAATAGCCACTACTAGCCACCTCCACTTCAGTGAATAATTGTTATTTATTTTAAATACTTCTCTCTTTCTATGACATTCGACGTCTCTTCATATCTATGATTTCATGCATACTAGGATAGGATTAAGATTTTTCTGTTACAGACGCTTTTATAATAAAAATTCTCTATGATTTTTACCTTTCGAGAGCTTACTCGTACACTCGCGTTAAAAAAGTCAAAAGGTAAAGGCGCACACAAGCCAAAGGCCCAAACGGCCGGAGCTTATCCAGGTTTCCTTAGCATGAAGCATGCCTAGGAGAATTGCGACTCTAACCTCGACAGCGGTTCGTGCGTTTCGCGCTAATTTCCCGGCCTTTTATGGTTGCTTACAGCATCCTTGCTTCGCGAGTTGCTTATAGTCATTCAAAAGGGAAATTTGTTGAGTCCATAAACGAGTGTTTTCTCGCAGAAAAGTGAACACTGGGCTGATCTTTCTAGTAGTAGAAATCTCCTGCTTCCACGGAGCACTTAGGAGTTCTTAAGAACTCGTCGAAACGTGTCCCTGCGTTCCAGATCGAATTGGAATTTGAAAGTGTTGGTTTTAAAGGAGAGGGGAAAACCAAAGTACCCGGGGAAAAACCTCTCGGAACAAGGGAAAGAACCAACAACAAACTCAACCCGCAAACAGGAAGATAAAGAAATCTAACTGTTCTGTTGTTTTCCTGCATTAGCTGTTGTGACCTAATTTCATGGAGCCGGAGCTACGATATCTTCCGTTCCGGGTTTACAAAACTGTCTGATTTCGCGGAAAAGATAGTTCCTGCGTTCCTCGGTAAGTCCATCTGGATTGACTATGTCAGGAAGGATAGAAGGTGGCGGAAGAATAGCATTATTCTTCAACAACATAAACGACTGTTCTGGACTAGAAACAAATTCTTTGTAGAAGACCTTGCCAGGGTTTTCGTTTGAAAACCGAAAATGATGAAACTTTTTAATGTTCGGCAACTTTTTGAAGTACTGCCCGAGAAACGAACTCCAGTCGTACACAGGAACAATTACTCGTCCGTCGTGCGTGCCAACAAGTTGTGCTTTGTTTAGTCCGCTAGTGCTGGAGGTCTCTACGAGTCGCGCAAATTCGTAGAGCGACGAAACGTACGTGACTTTAAAGGCTTTCTTGATCAATCCGAAAGAACGGTCTGGAGCAAACTTGGTGTGTCCGGCAATAAGGAAAGAGTATGTGATCGAATGATGCAGTTTCATTAAAGTTCTCCACGCGAAGTACCATAAAAAGTAATTGTTTTTATTTTGACCCGAGCAGTTATCAGCGTTAAGTTGTGCGTCTGTCTCTCCTAATCCATGGTGCTCAAAATAATAGTGGACGTAACTGATTGTTGCGTTTGCCCCTTTCCCAGCAGAAGTGGCCTCATCTATGAGGAAATTGACTTGTCTTGGTAGCCCCTCGCACATAACTCCAAATATCCCACACTTCCGAGGAGTCTTGAAGTAGATTGGCCCAGGTTGCATGGGATTGCTGGGGATGTGGACCTGCTGGGCGTAATCAAAGGAATAGTGCACCGTGACGTTTAAAGAGCAGGCTTCGCGGCTTTCACGGTCAAGTACTGTTTCGGTGTCAATCGGTCCAAGAGCATTCTCGGAGTTGATACATGAGTTCCTATAGTATTGTCTTTCAGACTGGGCACAGTTTAGATGATCCTGATGGGCTTTTACGCATTCTGACTTTTCTCTGTCGGAGAGGTTTGCAGCTCTTTGAAGTTTGTTTGTATTTTGCTGACAGGTAAAACAGAGATAGGTTGCTGGTTTTGAAATGACCACGTTAGGATGAAACTGGTCCCACAGCTGCAAGAATTTCCTGTAGCTTACTGCTCGTACATCCGAAGCGACGCACGCTGCTTCATAGACTCGCCAAACGCCGATCTTTGATTCGGATGATGACAGGACTTTGATGTCATCACTTTTGAAGCCAGGTATTCTTCCTGGGAGGGAGATCGCGTTTTCCTCGACGTAGTTGGTCAGGAATGTGCGGACTCCTTCTACCGTAGCCTGAGATAGTGTGTTTTCGGGTAATCGTTTAGTGTTACCGTGAATTCTGGGACAAATACCGTAAGTCTGATAGTGTTCCTTCAGCCGTCGAAATCGTGAATCACTCAGTCCATATAAGTGAAGAAACATCTCCTTGCAGATTGGTAGAGGCTGAAAATAAAAGGTGCATCGAGGACTCCTGCTTCTTTTGATACCAGTGGACTCACGGTGAGTGAAAGCCTGAATGCTTGCGAGGACCACCAAATCAAGTTCGTCATTTGACAGTTCCAAACAATTATTAAGGTTGAAAAGTACGACAGTTTCCGTAAACTGTCCAGAACATGGACTGCCTTTTGCACCAAGAGCACAACCACAACCATCCTTTAGAATTTTCTTAACTTTTTCAAAGGCTTTTTCGTTTTCCATTTCAGCTAGATCTGTCTCGGCCATAGCGTTTACCTAATTGTTTTGGTAATGCTGAAAACCGAAGTTTTGTCCTTCGTCACAACAGTTTGCCGTCATCATAGCAATCGCCACAAATTAGCATTTTGACAACCACTGTTGCGTGACGAAACACGAGCAAGTTCTTGACATGACTTGTGATCAGTGTTTACTTTGCAGACCTTTTATTCATCGCAATGGCCATTTTGGTCGAGCTTTCCTCGTGTTTGTTTTATCCGTTTATGGCATTTATAAGATATTTTTAACTTTCCTTTCGTCAGAAATTACAGTACAAAATACAAGCTCTCGAAACAACTGGACTTTGCCGAATAAATAAACAGTTCATATAATGTAGATCGTTGTTATGATTTTACTTGTCGGCAAACGTGGTTTGTTTTGGACCGTGTATAATAATTATAGTATGAAGGCTTTATTGAATTCATTCGAGTTGTATTTATCAATCATCAGGGCATCAAAAAATAATAATCGCCAAACTTGCCATCGAAAGATAGCTATCTCTCATGATTGTTTTGAAATAAATGGAAGCAAAAAGCTGCTCTCGTTTCAGTCTGTGTTAGGCTACCACATTCTACTTTAACGCGTGTCATGTCATTCTAACGGAATCGTTACCCGTTGAACGGATGCTAGTTTATTCTAACGGATCCTAACGGCTTCTCTAGCCGTGCTAACGGATGCAGAGTTTTTGCTAACGGTTATGCTGACCCGTCTAACGGTCTGATGCTAACGGCTAACGGATACATGTCTCTTGCTAACGGTTACACTGTCCGTTCTAACGGCCTCATGCTAACGTCTAACGGCTGGGCTAACGCCTCTAACGTTCTTAAGAAAACTTTCTAACGGATGACTAACGGATGCTTAACGCTTTTGCTTGTCTAACGGATAAGCGTTAAGGTACGTTTTCCCGTGCACGGTCATATTTATGACGTCGACGCAAGGATTCGAACCCGCGGGCCACATTGCTGGGACGTGAGCGTGAGATACGCCTTTTGAAAGAACAGCATGAAGGGGTAAAAAATACATGTAGCTCTTCTCGGATCCATTTCTTATGGTTATTTTTGCTGATCGATGAATTACCCAACGAACGTGTAGAGAGAAATAGCCAAATATTTCCAATCATAAGACTTTGATATGGCGGATCTCAGGCTGATTCGTGCCCACGCGTCTCTCAGTCTCCTGTTAATTTTTGAACGAGAGAAGCGCGAGGGAGACACCGTAATATTAGATACCTTTAGCATCAGGTTTTTCAGTTTCCAGTTTCACGTCGCCGGGATTTCAAATTTAAGCAAGGCGTTCATTGTTTAGTGCCGCCATGTTGCTTTTCGTAATTCGAAGTGCTTCGCTTTTTTCGCCCAAAAACATAAATAACTCATTGCTTCGAGATAAAAAATCTAAGTAGCACATCACAGGTAGATATAGAAAGCTGATTCGAGCCTTTAAACGTAAGGCTGTACAATTTTTAGAGGCAAAAAAAAACCTTGCCGTAAGTCACTTCAAACGTGAACTCCAAACGGCAAACGTGACAGCAAGACCGTGGTCACATGACATTCTCAGGTTTGCGGTTTCCCATGAAAAACCTGATGCTAAAGGTTTCTGTTCTCTCGTGACCGCTAACAAATGATAAGAGAAGACTGAGGACGAGTCAGGATGTAAGGGGAAATTTTGGCGGCCGAACCGCAGCGCACAAGACGAATGAGGCAAGGAAGAAATTCGCATCAATCGATTTCTGGATTGCAGACTAATGTTTGTCTCTAAGCTTTCATAGTCTTAAATATGATCTGATTTGTTGACTTCAAATCACTAGAATTGGGGCCAGCCCGATATCATGTTTTGCGGGCGTTTTTGTTTTTAAGTAGATAAATGTTGTTATTGTAGTCTACCCCTCTTGACACGGGTGTCTGTAAAACAAGGACCAGATACCTGCGGATGACGGATGCGGATGGGAAAATGCGGATGGAAAAATGCGGACTGAAGGAAAAAATTGCAGACAATAGTATAATAATAATATTTCGGATATATAAATTTTACTAAAGCATGTGTTTTTTCGTTTGTGGTTCTGTTATATTTAAATCCCGATTATAAATAATAGCTAGATATCCATCATCGCAGAGAAAACACGTATATAAAGTTGTTGGGACAACTTTTTATTAAAAAAAAAAAAAGAAAGAAAGAAACTGGAGAAAACAAGACAAAATAAACCAAAAAAAGGTGAACTGCGCCAAAACAATCGGCGTGCGTTGCTTCGCCTGTTTCGCGCTCGCCTAGTAAATCGCCCTGTTTTCACCAAAGGAGCCTGGTATTGAAAAGGCTCTTCATGTAACGCTGGCACTGCGCCTAGACTCAGGTCAGCTCTGCCATGGAAGACAGTTTAGAGCGTGAAGCTTTTGCGTTTAAAAGGTAAGTTACTGTTACACTATTCTTTTTTTTTTTTTTTTCATTTTCGGATCTTTTCTAATTTCCTGAGCAAACTGGGTCCTTTCAAATCTGCGATTTGTTTTTGACAGGCTACCACATGCTCAACGCAAGACATGAGGCGTAAAGGATATGTTTCTTGACTTGATATCACAAACCCTTCTTTTTTTCTTCTGGTTTTGTGTGAATCGGTCTTGTTTAACGAGGGTTTTTCCACAGAGCTTCTTTTTCAAGCACTATGGCGCTCCCTCAACAGAAGTATTTGTCTGGCCTTCGGTCCATTTTCACAACTTTACGCAAAGGTTCTTTCTTTTCTGGTTAGCTCAGTTGGCAGAGCGCCGGTCTGCTGGGCGAGAGGTCGCGGGTTCAAACCCCGTCCGGACCAACACTCAGGGTCTTTTAATAACTGAGAAGAAAGTGCTGCCGTTATAATGACATCTGCAAACAGCTACACTTTCAAGTGTTCTCGGATAAGGGCGAAATACGTAGGTCCCTCTCACAGTACTGTCACTTATCTGGTTCTTGTAGGACGTAAAAGAACCCACACCACTGTTCGAAAAGAGCAATAGACCCTAGTGGTGTGACTGACCTTTCCTGGGCCGCAGAGGCGGATCTAGGGGGAGGGTGCAGGGGGTGCGCACCCCTCCCCCCTGAGATGACCTGCGGTTTTCTAATACAACTTGCGTTCTGAAAAAAAAAAAAAAAACTATGGGGTTTATTGGTGTTGAAGTAGAGCAAGAGACAAGTGCACCCCCTCCTAAAAAAAATCCTGGATCCGCCCCTGGGCCGGGTGGGTTATCTGTAAGGAGAGATCTTGATTTAGCGATAACCTCACGATCCTGCTTTAGGTGTCGAAATGGCTATACCTGTAACAGTGTATGAATGTATGTAACGAATAAAAGTGGGTGATCTGGTGTAGACATTGTTAAAATCTTTAAAAAGCAGTTTTGTGTTTGGTTGCTGCGTCCCACATTGACGAGAGCGGTCCAAATAAACCGAATATCATATATTTCCGATTCCGAATCTGCCTGTCACGTTGTTTATGACGAGTTTTCGGTTGCTCGATACAGACGTTCTAAAAAATCGCTAAGGATATGTTTTGAAAACTTTTTTTTTGGACGAAAATTAAAAACAAAAACAAATGAAACAGAACGTATCCTTCATTAATGCGTTTCACTAGGGACACTTTTTTTGCGGGAGTTTGATTTTAAGGATGCTTTAAGATAAGGCGACTTTTTTCTTGCACATTTTCGGGAAATAACTTGTTTGATCAAGTATGTTTTTTCTTTTCAATCGACAGAATATTTTACAGTTTTAAAATTCGAATTCATAATTCACCGTGCACTTACAAATTCCCAAAAGGTAGAACTTGTAAAAAATAAATTCACACGATAGGCGGAGTTGATTGGCATCTGCACAAATCGGAAAGTTACGTACCTATGTTCCGCCTTTTTCCTTTTTGACGCTGCGTTTTTTTGTCTCGAGGCGCTCAAACAAACAATTCTCGATTTGATTGCCCAGAGAATATTTTCTCTTCTGTAAGTTGAGTACACTATATCCAGGCTATATACTCAAAGGACAAGTGCACCATAGCATGCGTGGTTTAAGAGGAGGAACGGAGCGTCCTTGTTTCTGTGACATTAATAAAAGGAATTACAGGGTTCAAAGAATTGAGAAAAAACCCTGGGTAACCTGTGCCAACTATTGACAACGAGTTCTGTACATGAAGGGCCCAACCATGTGACAGAACCTTGAAAGAAAGATTTCTTTCCTTTGTTTGTTTGTTTGTTTGTTTATTTTTGCCATCGGCATTTCTCGTTTTATTCTTTCCGCATTTTTCCATCCGCATTTTCCCATCCGCATCCGCGATCCGCAAGTGTCCGGTCCGTGCATGTTTTACAGACACCCCTCTTGACACTGTTAACAGCGAACACTGTTTTGACGCGAGGATTGCCGGTTGACCAAATTTATTAGCGTTTATGTTTATAAAATTAAGTCTGGATATTTCACTGAACAATTTTAAATATTTAAGCCCGAGTTAACCATATGTTTCTCAATTTAAAAAAAAAGTAACTAATTACTAAACCTACGTACATACATGCAGTAACTTAAAAAGTTTAACCTTATTCCTCCTTTTATTTAAAAACCAAAACAAAAATAACTAAAGCTACTCGCACCATATTAACCTTGATCTGCCTGTTTCCATACATAACTACAGAGGTAACTTGAGATCAGGCCCAATTTTAGCGGTTCTCATACATTCTCTCTAACGGCTACCGCTAAAAATCGGGCTCTCTTTTCGTTTCGCCTTGCCCGCCGGAATGTTATTTAGAAACCGAAACGAAAAGAGGGCCTAATCCAAGGTTAGTACAGAGGTTCAGCCATGTACCTCTTTATTCCAAAATCGAAACCAACACACTCTTACCTTTGATAGTGGCGGGCATCTTGTCAATAAAAAGCTGACGCTCATTTGGATCAGCATCTTTTAGTTGAACAGTTTGTCCTTTAGGACCTCCGTATAGTTTTAGTTCTCTAATTGTAACTGTATCGTTGGT